AGGTGCGTCTAGCTTCGTTCCACCTTGAAGGCGAGGCGAATCAATGGTGGCAGTGGTTCCGAAAAGCATTCACTGATAAACAGTGGAGCATCTCGTGGGAAGCCTTCGAAGATGAAGTGAGGGCTCGATATAGACCCCCTGATTCTGAAGACTTCGACGAAGTATTATCCCGAGTGAGACAAACGGGAACATTGTGAGACTATCAATGATAATTTGAACGACTTGAAATCGAGTTCGTGGATGGACCCAAAAGGCTCTAGTGGGTACGTTCATGGGAGGCTTAAAACCAGAGGTGGCTGATGGAATAAGAATGTTCAAGCCTCAATCTGTGAAAGAGGAAATTAGCTTGGCGAAAATGAAGGATGACCAGTTTACGAGACAGAGGTGATTCACAAGGCCAGGTGCCTTACGAGCTTCTTTTCCTGTAAGTAACACCAGTCCTCCCAAGGGTTCCACACAAGTGACAATCAAAAGGTTGTCTTGGGATAAGATACAGAAACGTAGAGCTCAAGGATTATGTTTCAACTGCAATGAAAGGTTCACCCTTGGACACAAGTGTCAAGCACCACAGTTGATGCTCCTTGAGGGCTGTATATAGGAAGATGAAACACTAAACGAAATGGGAGGGGTAAACATGAGAAGGGAAATGTTTGAGATTGAGGAAGATGATAACGGAAAGGAGCCCGAGATTACCCTACATGCACTAACTGGATGGACTGTACCGAGAACAATGCGAGTTAAGGCAATTATTGGAGTGCATGAGGTGGTTACTTTAATCGATAGTGGATCCACTCATAATTTCTTCTGTGATCGAGTAGCCAAAACGCTTCATTTTCCTGTGAAGCCCACAACACCGTTTACTGTCCGAGTTGCCAATGAGGAAATATTATCTTGTAAAGGGAAATATGATAAGCTTATGGTTAATTTACAAGGTAATGAGTTCCACCTCGACTTCTTTTCTATGCCCTTAAATGGTTTGGATATGATGCTAGGCATTCAATGGTTAGAGATATTGGGTTCAGTAATTTGTGATTGGAAAAAATGAACCATGGACTTCATTTGGGAGCAACAGCCTAAGAAACTCCAGGGGATTAAAATTCCACCAATCCAAGCCACCACATTGCAGGGCTTCACCAAGGACTTTCGACAACGACAAGCAGTGTTTGCTTTATATTTTCAGCTTGAAGAATAGCAGAACAGTGATGAACTCTCATCATATATGCAGGCATTACTGGAGGAATATTCATATGTCTTTACTGCGCCTACCAACTTACCACCAGCATGTGAAATTGATCACAAAATACTACTCCAAGATGGAACTAAAGCTATTAATGCGAGGCCATATAGGTATGCATATTTCCAAAAATCTGAGATTAAAAATCAGGTTCAAGACATGCTCAATGCAGGGTTGATTCGACCAAGAACCAGCCCATTTTCTTCTCCAGTACTGCTAGTAAAGAAAAAAGATGACACATAGAGATTCGGCACATACTACCGAGCATTAAACACTGCCACCGTAAATGATCGTTTCCCAATTCCAACAGTAGATGATATGCTTGACAAGTTACACAGAGCTGCTTTTTTTACTAGGTTGGATCTCAAGGCAGGATACCACCAAATACGAGTTAGCACCCCTGATATTCCTAAGACTGCTTTCCGCACTCACAATGGCCACTGTGAGTACTTGGTTAAACCATTTGGGCTATGCAACGCACCATCTACCTTCCAAGCAATAAGGAACTCGATTTTTCGACCGTATTTGCAGAAGTTTATCTTGGTTTTTTTATGACATTTTAATTTACAGTACGACATGGGAGCAACACTTGGAGCATGTCCAACTTACATTCTCCACCTTCGGCAACATCAGTTCTATGTCAAGATGAGCAAATATGCATTCGAAAAATAAGAGCTAGAGTATTTGGGTCACATAATTACACATCTTGACGTCAAAGTTGATGAAAAGAAAATTGACGCAATGGTTGCTTGGCCAAGACCCTCCAATATTACCAAGCTCCGTGGATTCTTAGGGCTCACCGGCTACTACCGCAAGTTTGTTCAAGGGTATGGATTAATATCTCAACCATTAACAAATCTCCTCAAAAAAGGGAAGTTTCTCTGGAATGAAGAAGCGAAATCGGCTTTCTTAGCTTTGAAACAAGCCATGACATCTACCCCTACACTAGCCATGCCAAACTTTACCGAACCTTTCTCCATCGAAACAGATGCATCAGGGAATGGAATTGGCGTTGTTCTAACTCAACAAAATAGACCAATTTCCTATATGATTCGAGCCTTAGGAATCACTAAGCAAACTTGGTCAATCTATGCAAAGGAAATGCTAGCCATCGTGGAAGCAATACGATTGTGGAGACCATATTTACTTGGCCACAAATTTTACATCATAACCGATCAACGCAGCCTCAAATTTTTCTTAGATCAGCGTGTTTCAAATCTGGAGCAACAAAAATGGGTGGCCAAATTATTAGGGTACGATTATAAAATCATCTTCCGACCGGGTCGTGACAACTTTGCAGCAGATGCTTTATCTAGGCGGCAAGAAAGCCCATTATTGGTTGCTCTTCATTTTTCAGATGTGGATATTTGGAAGCAGATCCGCGAGGCCTCTAAATCAGATTCCTATATGCAATTTTTGGGTAAAAAGGCTGGTGACCCTCCTCGTGACAACTTGACTTGGCGTGATAGATTGTTGCTTTACAAAGGAAAGGTTGTGGTGCCTGCTGATCACTCCTTACGGGCCAAATTGTTGTATGAAGTTCATGATTCTAAAGTTAGAGGGCACTCGGGGATCCTTCGAACTTATAGAAGATTGCAACAACAATTTTATTGGCTAAAGATGCATAAATCTGTTCAAGAGTATGTCCAGAAATGTGAGGTATGTCAACGCATTAAGCCAGAGACCAAGGCACCAGCGGGATTATTACAACCCTTACCAATTCCTGCACTTTGGGAGGACATCACTCTCGACTTCATTGAAGGGTTGCCCAATTCTCATGGCAAAGACACAATTCTGGTGGTAGTCGATAGGCTTAGTAAATTTATTGAGGGAGTTGTCAAACTCGATGGGATGACACGCTCCATCATCAGTGATCGCGACCCAATCTTCATCAGCAAATTCTGGCAAGAATTCTTCAAACTTTCCGCCTCCAAACTCATTCTTAGTTCAACTTACCATCCCCAAACAGACGGCCAAACTGAAGTTGTTAATCATTGTGTTGAACAATATTTGCGTTGCTTCGTTCACCAATTGCCGCGCAAATGGAGTAATTATCTCGTTTGGGCAGAGTATTGGTACAATACCATCTACCACGCCCCAACAAAAATAACACCGTACCAAGATCTTTATGGTCGCCTTCCACCACTTCTCCCCGCCTATCCAGAAGGCCTTTCCCTAGTTCATTAAGTGGATCAAACGCTCCTACATCGTGATGCGCTGCTCCACCAACTCAAGACAAATTTAGAGATTTCCATGAATCGAATGAAGCAACAAGCTTATCCATATCGCCAGCAAACAGTCTTCAAATAGGCTCATCAAAAATTATCCAACTGCTACTATGGACCTTATCCTATTTTGGAGAAAATCAGAGCAGTAGCATACCGCCTGCAATTGCCACCTACAGCTCGAATTCACCCCGTGTTTCATGTCTCTTTGCTTAAACCATACAATGGCACTCCAGCTGTCACTCCACTTGACTTACCTCCACTTGTAGATGATGGCGTCATACCCTTGAACCTCAGCAAATACTTGATACACGATGGATTAAGCGTGACGACACCTTCATAGAAGAAAGCTTGGTACATTGGAAGCATCTACCCCACGAAGAAGCCACCTGGGAGTCCACGAATACTCTTTGCCACCAGTTTCCTCATGTGATGCTTGAGGACAAGCATCCTCTCCATGGGGTGGGCAATGATAAGCCCAGAAGATCCTGTCGGACCCCGAGACCCAACTCACGCTATATAGACTGATGTCCATGTCGGAAGCCAAGCCATTTATTCTACTTCAGCATCATTTCCTTTTATTGCATTTGTTGGTTTAATATTTGATGGTTTACTTTTGTTTTAGGGCAGTTACTAGCATGACTGCAATTCATGGGTAGTGGGTGGATGAGTCTCCTACATACTCGGACACCATTAGCTTCATTTCAGTTGTTTCTTTGATGTATAAATTTGGAAAGAAGACATCGGAAAAAGGGAGATAAAAAGTTAATGAATTTGTAGTTTATTCTCACCCAAAGGGAATACTTTCTTGTGGTTGATGTGCTTGTAGTGACTGGGACCTATAGGAAAAAAGATATATGATGGGTTTTCATTGGCATTTCTCAAGCATGCCTCCAGTTTTCATTCGAAAACCAAGATCAAAATCATGATTACCATCATTGCTGATTTCATACATAAATGCGTGGAATGCTGTCTTATTCGGATTTCGGACATTGTAGTAATCTCAATCAAACGAGTGATTCTTCAGTGGCTTTCGACATTGTAGTAATCTCGACTTGCAGTGACACTAGGATATTCAATAATAGCAGGTTACACAAAAAACTGCACTGATAAATTCTAATGTCATCACAGTAGAAGTATTATTGAATATCCTGTAAGTTGGAACTTGCAATTTCAACACCAAACTTGAGTTCCAAGTGGTGGGGGATTAAGATATTGTGACATAAATAGTAAACCTGGGGCTCTTTCCCCTTTTCTTCTTCCTCTTCTTTTCAAATATTATGATCTGCTTGTTAATTTTTCACTTAAGAATCACTAATTTTAGTGAAAACTAGTAAAATGGCAGGAAATATGAACAATCATTCTGTCATCATAAACAGTCTCTATTATTCAAAGAAATGACCAAACTTTACAATTAGAATTCAAATTTAGAAAAAAAAAATACATACACAAAATCCCTTGAAAACAAAGTTACCATTCTAAATCCTAAATTCTCTAAATTTTAGTTCTTTATGATGCTATATATGAGAAAAGGATAGTACTTTATGGCATTATAAACATTATTATAATTTGATGAAGCCCCTGAATCTGATCTTAGCAATAGAATTCCCAAATTTATAAACCCAAAATTTGATTCGGATATTGAAAAAAGAATGGCTAAAAGTTCCAAATTTGAGCAAAAATGTCGGAATTTGGAGAAGAAATTAATGGCGACATCATGAATCCACTTCCATGTATCATTGGGCTCCAGTCATGCCAAGGCGACATCATTCTCGCTTCCGAAGTTGGTGTAAAGAAAATCCCTGTCGATACTGCAGGCAACGTCTCCGGTGCAGGCGAAAGTATCCCTGTCGGTGGTCGAATCAGCCCCTCGTCCATCCCACCATCCCCCATAATCCTCGAGTCCACTATCTTCTCCCTCGGGCTCGGACTCGCCCTCTCCGTCACTGCCAACCTTGCTGCCGGGGAAACGTCGCTGGCGCCAGAGAAGTCTCCGGATGAAAGACCCGTGTAGAGTTGGACGATGGACATGAACTCGGATTCGTTGGCGTGGATGACTTTGGGTGAGACGGCATAGATTATTACCGGCTGACGGCGTTGATCCGGTACAGCAGCAGCAGCTGGCGGTTGGCCAAAAGCGGCGTGGGATGGTGGGTAAGGCGGCTTTCTGATTTTATGGGAATCTTTGCTGACTTTTAGAGGAGCTGGACGCGGACCTTGGATTTGAAGCTGACGGTTTGGGGTTGTCCCGCCGGCGGGAAATTGAGAATCCATGGCTTATGACGAGCAGCGAAGAAAGGGTTTTTTGCGGGTAGGAGGAGAAGGGAAAGAGAGGACCAAAATTGGTGGTAGATGAAGTGAGTCATTTTTCCTGGCAAACTTATTTGACTTGGGAAAACACCAAGACCCACGAAAAGTCAATGCAATTATTATTTCTTATTCTCTGCTAAACTAATTAACATTTCCCCAATCTTAGTTCAGCAGGAAAATGCTAATCTAATATTTTAATTTTCAAACAGAATTTCATTCATCTATGGCTATGGAATTACAGATCAAAATTGCATTTTTATTTTATTTTATTTTTATTCTTCGTTCGGACAATGATTGGAGCGATCATAACACAAATACGTGAGTCATTTTCGGCTACAAAAAGGAGGGTTTTGGTCGTTAAATGATTATGCGTATCAATAAAAAATTATCGGAAACATTATTATTTCTATCGATTTTATTATTATAGGATGTTTTACCGAATTTATTAACAAAACTGGTAAAACGCTATCTGTTTTATTATTTTTTTACCGATTTTGTTATTTTGGGAAATTTACCGAAAATGTTAAAAACATTGATGTTTTAGGTATAAATAATAATATTTTAAGTAATTTTTTATCGATTTTATTATTTAAATAATAATAAAATTGATAACACCTTATTTTAATCGTATATTAAAAAGGTCGCAATGTAAAACTTCATGTTTCGGTCGCTCACAACTCACGAGAGAATATTAACAGATAAGAATCAGTTTTATTTCCTGGGAAATGATGATCACAATATGTTAAATAATTATAAAGATATTTGTATTGATAAGAGTAAACTCAAGATTTTTTGAATGCATAGTACGGTAGCCTTTCCACCGGCGGAGACACCGCCCCTCACATCGCAGTCCTAGGCGGTCACGTAGACATTGTGGAGGACTCATGTATGCACAAGCAATAACAGTGAAACAGAGAGACATGGTCCATATATAACACACATAAATATCATTAAAGTCCGTCTATATATAATATTTGTGTCCTAACAATATTTTCATTCAAAGAAAAAATAAATTTTTCGTTTAGTTATCGAGAAAATGACAGAGAAATATTTAAATAGAGATTTTGACAATTTTTTTAATTGTTTTTCATAATAAATTTGATTAAAAAAAACTTCATGATTTTAATTTTGACAAATTAATTATTATAAAATATTTTAGATCCTCATTTTGTAAGAGAACACAGTATCTTCTTATCATTTGAGACGGATTTGTCATTGAGGTATTGGTGGAAAAGAACGAGTGACGTGGAGAAACTTCAAGCTCCAAATCCATGGAAGAAGTTCAACATGCAGTAGCAAAGGCAAAATTCTTTCCATGTCTACACCTTGCTTAAGTCAAGATAAAACAGCCCTTGTTATTCGTCTCAACCACAACATCTCGAAAGCCCTTATCCCATGTAATGCTTCGCCTCCAAAACTCTGCGTCAAGTGTCGAGCAACTCTTTATAAACTTTGGTAAAACCCATGATCCATGCACCAAAACTATTTCGCTCCACCCCACCGCAAGTCACTAACCCGGACCATCCATGTTTCAGTTTACAGCAGCCCTGTGACGGAGGGACCAATGACGGGTCACTAATTTGCCCAGCCAGACATTCTACATTGCTCTGGCATGCACATCTTCCATATTGGAAAATTATGAATTAATCGAGTAAAATTGGTTTTTTTTATTAAGTGGCGTCACTTAATGAAAATACTTATTAATGATAAGTTATGTCACTTGATTTAAAGTTGCATCCATTCAATTATACCGCTTATCATCTTCATCAAATGGTCTTCATCGGCTAGTTAAGGCACAAATAAGAGACTTAAGTTACAACATGTAAGTTTAGAACTTTGAAATAGTAAAGTACTTAGAAAAAATTCATTTTAAATTCATTCTTTCCGGTGATAGAGATAGGTAAGATTGTGTTCAACTAATCGCTACGGTTATGCTTATTGTTGTGATCGTTTGTTGTATCTTGGGAGACCGACGTCCAACGTTACTCAAAGCACAGAGGAAATGACGAATCTGTCTTAAGGAAATGACGAATCTGTCTTAAGGAAATTATTCATACATGCCTCAAAAAAACTTCCTCTTCTGTTTATTTTGCTTCGTTCAATTCATATAATAATGTTTGTTTATTATTATTATTTTATGTCTCGAATTAACCATTTTGTCTAACATTCCATTGCCAACCTGTCGCTATACTGGAGCACACTCTCAACCTCCACGAAATCCGATTGAAATATCACCCGATTTCGTGGCATCCAAAGACTAACACCCAACTAAAGAATAACTCCCAATCCATGCCTACAAACTCATCCATTAATTCTGGCTGCACTAGTTCACATATAAAGCCTGCTTGAATATTGGGCCAAATTGAATGTACAAGGACATATGGACTGTCATAGGAGAATTCAGAACCACAAGGAAAAGCCCAATATGTTTTAGTGAAAAGTAGGGCTGCAATTTGGGTACGGTAATAATTAATAGTAATACACAGCATCACACCGCACGGAAATAATATAAACACCACGCAGATATATAAAAAGTTTGAATATTCACGGAAAGCTTGTTAATGTCTAAAAAGTTGTATAAATTCATCTATTTTTATATAAATACGTTATAGACACATAATTGTTTAAACTGAATCACATAAATAAACTATTCAAAAATACATAATAAAATTTGTATGTGCAATATGAACATATATATTTTTAAAATTAAACTATAATCAGGAAAACGTAAGATTTTATGTTATATTTGCCAATTTAAATTTGTAAATTTTCAAGGAGACTGAACTTGTTGTTATAAAATTTAAGGATGATGAAAATATATTTTTAATAGGAAATAAAAATATAAATAAAATATATGATAATTTTAAATTTTTAGGGATCACTCCCGCCTATATCCATCCCTAACTACATCATTAAATTATGCAAAACATAAGCTGAATAAATACACAGTACATAAAAAATTAAACGTTAGAGTAATATTAGGATTGACATAATTAAATTATTTAAAATTAAAACTAAATTAACACAATATATAAAAATAAATATTAAATTAAAAAGGCCACGTCACTATTTTTACTAATAATTTAAACATTAATTTCGCTTTCACTCCACTCCTACTATATTGGAGAAGAGAGAAACATGGGGATGGAGACATGGAATAGGCCATGTAATTATAAAACACTAACTAGCAAATTAACACATGAAATTCAGAATTTCAAGTGCTTTGTTGAGCCCATCAACTTCAAATATGACATTTCATGTGATTGTTAAAGTATATCCACTTTCTCTCAAACAAAATCCCAAATTCATCATTAAATTTAATAATTAAAATAACCCTCGTTTCACTCACGTGAGAACGAAGCGTTTTGCAATGATACCCGGCATCTTAGCCTCATGGCACGTCACACTAAATTACAAGCAACAATTTGCACTCCAAAATCCCATCAAACATTAATTTAATATTTTTAATTATACGATATGATAGCTTAAAGGTTAAAAATAAGAGAAAATCGCCTCAGTGACCAAAAAAAAGTTATAATATATGATTTTAACCAATTTTTTTTGGATTTGCCAAAATGACCAACAAAATCGCAACGCGAAATAAAAATCGCAACGCGATCCCCAGAATCGCAAATCAGTTTCCAAAATCGCAACGCGATTCTTGAAAATCGCAATGCGATAGTACAAATTCGCATTGCGATTTTCCAAAATCGCAACGCGAATATGAAAATCGCAACGCGAACACATAAATCGCAACGCGTATCCGTAAATCGCAACGCGTATCCGTAAATCGCAACGCGTATGGGTAAATCGCAATGCGTATCCGTATATCGCAACGCGTATCCGTAAATCGCAACGAGAATCTGTAAATCGCAACGATAATCCGTAAATCGCAACGAGAATCTGTAAATCGCAACGATAATCCGTAAATCGCAACGAGAATCTGTAAATCACAACACTGAAATTTTGGGTATATAACACTGAAATCATAAACTAAATCCCTAAATCGCAACTCATTCCATCTCCATCTATCACTCTCTTCGGCGACATCCGTTCCTATATCCAACGACATCCTTCCCAATCCGGCAACAGGTTTTAGTTTCGCAGCTCGTCTGTTTAGTAAATTAATTTACAACCATGAAATCATCTAATGTTGATCATGTTTGGATAGATTTGTGTTTTGGAGGGTCAAGGGATAATGTTCATGGTGTTTTACAATATATGCCTTTACCCATGAATCTTCAACTAAAATTGTCTTTACAAAAGTTAACTTATGAAACTCTAATGCTACGTGTTTCAAATAAATTGAATTTAGAGCCCCTAAGTGGATTTAGGCTATCTTATCAGAGAAATGGTAAAGTTTATTTGTTAACCGACAATGAAGATGTTGAACGATTCATTGCTTACATTAGTGTTTCACAAGATGATGTTACATTGTATGTTGTTGAACCTAGAAGTAGTATTGTTGGGTCAGTAGCGGGTAGTAATCAACTAAGTTTTTCTCAAAACCCACAACCTTTCTCTAATCCAAATCCCAATCAACTTTCAGCACCAAATTCCGGTTTTCGTATTGACCAGTTAGACGATGATGAGCCAACAGAAAAAATTGTGAGTACTAGTCAGTATTCGAAATTTGGTCTTGGTCAATATCCGGACTTTGATACTGGTCAATACACGGATTTGATGATGTTTCAGAAGAAGAAACAGACCATGTGTGTAATGATTTTCATATTGGTCAATACCCGAATTTTGATGATGAAACACCGTTGCCGAGGAAGATGTTGTTGATGATAATGAGGAGGAAGTTACGACTGTGAATGAACATGTTGAACATCCATTCTGTAATTCATATAATCCTGAAGAAGAAAAAGAAGAAGAAAAGTCCCCGAAGAAAAGAAAATGCCACGGGAGTATAACTGGAATATGCCAGAATTACTTCAGTTACCGGAAGAAGAGTTGGCAAAGAAAGCAGTTGATTGTTACACAAAAGTTATTCGTGTCAAGAAAGATGATTGTTTTGATACAAAGGAAGACTTGAAGATAGCTTTGTATACGAAATGTGTGGAAGATGGCTATCAACTAAAAGTTAACAAAT